GGGAGCGAGAAGGAAAGGGAGGGGGGGGGGAGCAGCCCGGGCCCGGGGCACGTCGTTTACACCACGGGGCAAGTGGTCGGCTGCGTAACATCAGCGGCGGCGCAGCAGCAGCAGGGCAACCCGGGGCGTATTGATCGGCGACACGCTGAAACAAACGGAATGGAACAAACGGAATGGAACAAACGGACAGAAGCAAGCAGGGCAGACCAGCCCGCGCGACCCTTCCCCCACTCCACACACCAAGGCAGATGCGGGACACTGTGACCACCACTGCTTTGCTTTGGCAAGAGGAAGCTTTGATAAGACGATGCTCGGATTAAGCTCAGATTAAGCTCTGCTTTGCTCTGGTTTGCCTAGCTTGCTCAGCCTTGATGAACTTTGCTCATCCTTTCTGTGCCCGGCTGCGCCCTGCTGCGTCCTGCTCTGCCCTGTTTTATTTTCTGTGCCCAGCACTGAGAGAACTGTTCCGTTGCAGCCATCAACATTTTGATACCCACGATCCCATTTTGTTCAATCCGTCCGGCTTATAGTCATAGGCATCAAAATTTTGTTTGCTGTGGGTTGCTGTAACCGTAATTGTGGCTGCTGTAACCAAACGTTCAGTTGCAGTGACTGAAAATTTGAAGCCCACGATTTTTGATGGTATTTCTCTCAGTGTGCCCTGCATTGCCGTACTGTGCTGCTCCATCATGCTTGGCCAGTCCCTGCTCTGCCTTGCTCTGCGCCCCAGGTGCAGTGGTGGACGGGCGCATACAATGTGCAGCGGCCGGGCACGGGCAGCAGGAGCACTGTCTCCGCAGCTTGTAGTTCTGCGCTAGTTCCTGCACACACGGTTTTGCTTTCGGGTGCCGCTCACATCCAAACGCCCCACGCCATCGTTCTCGCGGATAAATATAATTTTTTCCCCCTTCTTTAATGGCTGCACCAGCCCGGCTCAGCGGCAGCGGCCGCGGGAGGGTTTCCGAGAGGATAATTCGTTCTGCCGTGTGATAAATTGGACCGAGGATTAGGCAGTCCGGAGCTCGCCGGCGCGCTCGTTAATTGAAAAGCAGGGCCGACGCGGAAAAACACAAAACCCAGAGAATCGATGCACTCCACGCCTCGCTCCACGCTCCATTCTCGCGACACACAGGCTCGCGCGTGCACACACAAACACATACAATGTTTGTACCCAGCGCTGCGCGGCTGCCGAGGCGGCTGCTCACCTCCTCCCAGACGAGCATCTGCTTGTTGTTCCCTGGGCGCAGATTCATGATCTTGAGCTCCGCCGCTTTGAGGACGCCGTCGGCCGTGAACTCCACGTTGGGCTTGCCCATCTCGCCCTCCACGCTGACGTTCCGCAGGTACCTGCCAAACACAAACGAGAACCAAAGTGTTGACTCAATTATTCGTATTCTCTGTTCACGCCACCCCCCTTTTCTCCCCCTCTCCGACTCTCTCTCTCTCTCTCTCTCTCTCTCTCTCTCCGCTACACCAGGGGCCATCTTCTGGACCCCACCCCCGTCCCCGTTGCGACGGGCTTTTCACGAGCGCATCAAATGGATCCCCGAGCCGCAGCTATTACAGATGAGGCGGCCAAAAGTAATTTCGGTTATTCCTGACCGAACCCAGCCGAGCCGAGCCATGCCGAGGGGAACCGTGTCGAGCCAAGGCCGAGCCGAGCCAATCCTGCACGGGAAATAAAGCGCCTCCCCACCGACTGCCTTAGGCCCAGGCGGGCTGAGCAGCGCCAAGCGAACCCGAGCTGGGCCCAACCCGACTGGGCGTCCTATGCCGTGGGGGGAGGGGCCAGGGGTGTGGGTGAAGGTGGGGGGCCGGCAGAGCCCAGCCGAGACGCAAGGGCCATTTGTGCCACCGACGTGGCGGTGACAATTTATTACAGCAATTTCTGACATTGTGTTGGTTTACGATTGGTGGAGTCGGGGGATTGGAGCAGAAGAGAAGAGGATACGAGATTTTAAGGGCAAGAGAGAGAGAGAGAGAGAGAGAGAGAGAGAGAGAGAGAGAGAGAAGAGGGGGGGGCTGGCATCTGGCGAAGGCCCCGCGGGTGTGCTGATCCGGGGGTCCAAATAGTCCCCCTTCCGCCCACCGTCTATCTGCTCTCCAAACTCTCCGCTTCCAATCAGAGGAGACGAACACTCTGGGTATTGAAACCTTCCCCCACCCCTACCCCTATCCACTCACTGGCGGCACGTGCTGGACTGACCTCACGCGAGCGAGCAGACCATCAGTGGTTGTCAGAAGAGCAGCAATGGGTTGACGTGACGCGCCCAACGAACACTGTCTGATCTCCGGGCGCACCGCCCAACAATGCCCGGTGAAATTTTCGGCTGTTCAGCAGCATCGGCTCCAAGCTGGTACATCTTCGCCAGTTTTTGCACTTAGCAGAAAACCAACAGTTGCTACGTGAGCCTAACTTCAACGTTTGATTTTTTTTTGTCAGCTGCCGAAATACTTTTAAATCTGCACAAGAGAGCTTCAATCTCCCACCTCGGAAAGTGCCGTAAAGGACATCGGGCAGTGTTGAGCGGCGCGTCAGGAGATCGGACAGCGTTATTTGGGCACGTCGGGCTGTGATGTGGCTCGCTAAGAGCTAGGGTCCCTATAAGCTTCTTCGTATTGGGAAGGAGGCGGGGGG